TCATCTATGACAATAGTATAATTACAAATCAGGAGGGATAAATGAAATAAATACTCAAATAGTGCTGTGACTACTGACTGTTCATGTGGAAATGGGAAAATTAGATCTCTATCTTATATCATGCCCCAAATTTCAAATGGATCAAAGACCTACACAACCCCACACTGTTTATTCCCAGGGACCTGATTCTGGCCTTCCAGCCAAAGGCCCTCAGACCACTACTGAGGCAGAGTCCTGGCTTGCCTTCCTGGATAGCGCCTTCATGGAACATGGCTGGCTTCCAGGCCTCCTGATCTTGCCTTGCCCTACCCACATTCCACAGCCAGAGCCTCCTCCCTCCACTTTATATACCCCCAGGCTTAGGCACCAGCCAGGGGCAGCTGGGATTATTCTGAAGCAACTCTGTCTTAGTGAGACAAGCCATCTGGAAGACAAAGAAACCTCAGAATTCCGGCTAGAGGTTATCTCACCCATTCTCTTTTTATTAACTATCCATCCAAAAAAACAGCTATGCGAATATTTAACTTAATTGTACTGTGATAACATGTGTAAAGCTGGATGCTTTACACATGTTATCTTATTTAATCCTCCAAATAACTTTATGAAGCAGATACTATTATAACCTGTTTTCTACAGATTAGCATCTGAGATTTAGAAAGGTTAAAAAAACTTGCCCAGGGTTGGATGTGTAGTCAGAAACTGCAAGATGATGTTCTTAACTAAAGCTCCTGTCTGTCTCAGGCAGTTGGTATGTCTGATGAAGAGGCCAGTCAAGGCTTAGGTAGTGGGTGGCCTGAATGCTAGGGTAAGGGTTTGGCTTTCTCCTGGCTGCCCCCGTCAGGCCTCAAAGGGTAGAAACCGTTGGAACCATATGTCTGGAAGTGCCAAATCGGGTAGAGTTGGACTGGGAATTAAAGGAGGGCTGTAAGCCCACGTGCCAAAGTTCATTCTCTATCTGGGTTCCTCTAGAGGGGAACAAAAACACTGTTTGCTTGAGGTCACATTGCCAACTGGTCTAGCCAGCCAATCAGGAAAAATTCTGAGTCCTCCTCCCTGGAGATAAAAGGGAAAGGAAAAGGATAAAAGAAGAGAACGAAAAGAGACAAGGAAATAGGTCTCTTCAACCTTTGGACTACCATCCTCAACTTGATCCCTACCTCAATTTCCCAGGGATATTCATCAAACTGAGGGAGTGGTGAGTGTGAATTCCTGATAGGGGAGAGGAGGGACCAGATTACATTTAGGGGAAGGAAATGTTATGTCTAAAACAGTAGTTCTCAATCTTGGCTGCTCACTAGAATTACCTGGGGAGCTTTAGAAGCATCTGATGCCTTGACGCATCCCAATCCTCTGTGCTTGCCCACATCTGTATCTCCTACTTGCATGGCCTTCTTCATGGGGTTGTGGTGAGGATCTTGAGAGGATGGCATTGCTTTGTGCACATTATAAGGCTGGTGCAGGGTTGAAGGGTGGTTTTCATTGCTACTGTGGTTAGTGCTCAAGGTGAGTTGGGGGAAGTAAGGGGTCAGGTTGAGGTGAACTTTGAACTTCCCACCAGGCAGCAGCTACTGGAACCCAAGCACAAAAGGTGCCAAATGCACTGTCTAGGAGGGCACAGATTTCTAATATATTTTGCATTTGCCAGACAACCTTTCCTCACTTTCTCCTCCCCACACCTATAATTGCCAATCCCTCTTATATCCATTCAACAAAAAATTATTTATTAAATGCCTACTGTGCCAGGGAAGTGGAGAGGACCTGAACATGGTGCCTCCCTGAGTGTGGTAGGTGCACATTGCCAGCACTCTCTCAACTCACACAAAACTCAGCACCTGCAGATCCCTCAAGGTGGTCCATTCTCTCATGTATGTACTTGATCATGGGTTCACTGCATGCGGGTGTCTTGTCTGATTTCAGCCAGTGAGTGGAGAGCAGGATGTGTGACAAATAGACTGTGAGTGCTGGGCCAAATTGCTGGCAGGAGAAGGAATGCAGGACCTCTAAGGCCATAATCAACAGCTACTCTGCTGGTTCTCCCTCTGACTTCCTCTTCCTGATTGCCAACCGAGGCCCTATACCGCTTCCAACTGGGCTAGCTCAGGGCTACTGACTGCACCCACACAGAGGGGGACATCGTCCTGGAGCATGTCTGTTGTTCCTCTGTTTAAGACCCCTCTGTGGCTCCCTGAAGCACAAAAAAGTCCAACCTCCTTACTCCTCTGTTAGAGACTTCGTGTTAACTCTGCTCTTGACACTCCAGTTTCCTAAGATGCTCCTCTGCTTATGTTTCTGCTTCATACCTCATACTCAGGTAGTGGCTTTTCCAAACCATGCCTTTCACTTTCACCAAAATCAGATTATTTCTTGCCCTTTCTTATGGGAGGCTTGCCCAGGGCAATCTCATTTAGAATTCCTCTATGAGCCCTCTCAGTACTTCTCAAGTTAGCTCCACTACTCCAAGCATACCAGGTTCATCCCACTTAACCCTTACCATGTTAGTTCCACTCAGTTTGTCACAGGCTAGCCCCCTAAATATGTTTCAGCCCAACTAAACCAAGTCTTTGCCACTTTCCTGGGCTTTCCCCAGTATGCCACTTAGGAAACCTTTGGATTCAAGTAACAAAGACCCCAACTCAAATGGAATTTAAGTAATAAAGTAGATTTATTGGCTCACATCATATAAAGATCCAAAGGCATTCCTAGCTACAGGTGAAGCTTGATCCAGGAGTTCAAACAATGTGACTAGTGTTCAGTTTTTCTCTGTATATTTCTCAATTTAGTTCCTTTGGCATTGATTATCTTTTTAAAAAAATATGTTTTTATTGATTTCAGAGAGGAAGGAAGAGGGAGAGAGAGATAGAACATCTATGACGAGAGACAATCATTGAAGGGCTGCCTCATGCACGCCCACACTGGGGATTGAGCCTGTAACCTAGGCATGTGTCCTGACTGGGAATCGAACCGTTACCTCCTGGTTCATAGGTCGAAGCTCAACCATTGAGCCACACTGGCTGGGCGGCAATGAGTATTTTCTTGTCAGGCTTTCCTCACATTGATTACTCCTGAGAGCACATGCTTCCAGGTTCAAATCCAATATCAGAGAGTCTGTTTACAGAGGGCTTAAATTATAGACCAAAATTGAGTGTCATTAGCCCTGATTGACTGACTTTGGTTGAGTGCCTATCCTTGACACAGACTATGTGAATGCAGACTGTCATAAAGAAATATGGGTCAAGCCCACTGCACCCCAAAGGCAATAAACTCATGGTACTGCTTGGAAAGGGGGAAGCAGGGCATGGATACTGGGAGTCAATCAATAAATACCCACTGTACCCACTTACCATCTTCTAGGCTAGTCCTATTCACTTCCCAGGTGCATCCTAAATGGTTCTTGCCAGGATCCATGGCTCCTTCAAGAGGTGGGAGCTCCCTCAGGCTCTCCTCAAATACTCCATTATACCATCAGGCTGAGATCAAACGATAAACAAATTCACCGTAAACTATGGAAGTCTTCTGGTAGCTCTTTATGCACCCCTACTCTTTGACCTGGATGACTTCCATTTTAAAAGGAGCACTCCATGTCCTGATCTAATGAAATGAAGCACAAATGTGGAATTTCAGGAACTCCCTAGGGTTTCTTTTTATTGTACTGCCATCTTGCTTTCTCTGCTTATGGGTAGGACTAAATAGGGTATCTCCCCAGGGGAGGAGTTGGAGGCCTTGTTGGCATTGTATCATTCTCTGAGTCAGAACCTGTCATCTGAGTTCTGCAATCAGAGTTCCAGGTTCACCTGTTTGCTGGTTTTCCACTGCTGCCTCCATGCCAGGCCCAGGCTTTGCTCTTTGCCCTGCTGGGAGGTTGATTTCTGCATGCTGACTCCCTCAGGCTCCCTTGGCTAATAGGAGATACCACTCAGAGATTGGAGGGGGTGGAGTGGAAAGGTGGGACATTTCTTCTCTGCTCCTCCCATCTCTAGAGTAATTTCTCTGGCAATAGCTGCCCCCATCAGCTCCAAGAATGCTATATTTTCCCCTTGTTCCTTTAGCTTAGGGGTGTGAATGGGTTTCCTGCTGCTGCTAGTCTCTGGAAGCCACACCCTACCTTGTTTGATTCCTTAACTCTGCCTATCCCTCTGAAAGGAGCCCTGCATCCATGTCTTTTCATCTGAAACATATGTAGTCAATTGTTTCCTGTGGGGCCCTGACTGTTAACAACCCAGGACTGGAGGGAGAAATAGCAAACTCTCCCCAGGCAAAGCTGGGACCTGGGTCAACCTTGTTCTTTAACAGAACTCTGGGCTGGGCAATTGAGAGCTACAATTGCCTTGCTGTGAGGCTTTGGACAATTCCCTGCCCCTCTCTGGGCCAAAGTGGCTCCCTTCACCAATCCAGGAGAGATTGAATTTGATGATCCTCCTCATCACCCTGAAGCTAATATTATATGTTCTTTAGTGTCAGTTTGTACTATGATCTTGGGGTGAAGTTGGCCCTTTTCTGACCCAGAATCTCCCTTCTGGGGTTAGAACCTTGTTCCTGAAGTGCCTCATAAAAAAGGGACTCAAAGCATCATGAACCTGGCATAAATGCAAGCCCTCCCAGTGGCCCATATGGAAAGGGACAGTAGAAAGCACAGGCAAGCTGAGCCTCAGGTTCATTATCAGGAAAAGGGGTATAAAGAGTAGTACCTGTGATCTCCTTGTTTGGGTTAAATGAGATAGTGTGTAGAAAGCACCTGAAACAACAAGGTGCTTATAGGCAATCATTATGCCAATGATTATAGAAAGCATTGCCTTCTGTTTGCTCTTCCAAGGAATCAAGCCAGGATAACCATTGTCTGATCTCTTTGGAACCCACCATCTGTTTTCTCTCCAGCCCTTTGGAACTAGTCGGCCAGGCAGACTGTCTCTTCTGTTGTCTGTAACTTTTGGGGCTGCTGTCTCTGCCTTATGAAGCTCTGCCCATTCTGGGCTGTTATTGGCAGGGCTGTGGGAGGAACTGGCAAGGTGCCTGGGTCTAGAGTATAAAGGAACCCGAGGGCAGTGGGAGGAAACTGGTGGCTGCAACTCCAGCCATGGTGCCTGCCTTGCTCTCCCTGAGCCTTTCCCGCCTGGGCCTGTGGGCTTTGGGACTGATCTTGGTCTTAGGTTTCCTCAAGTTCATTCGTCTGTTGGTGCGGCGACAGTTCTTGGCCAAGGCGATGGACAGCTTCCCAGGGCCCCCCACCCACTGGCTCTTTGGGCATGCCCTTGAGGTACGTGGGGGATATGAGGAGGGAGGGGTAGAGAAAGAAAATGGCCTCTTTTCCTTTAGAGAATCCAGTCCAATCTCCTGGGGGCTATGGAGGGAGACCTAGTTGGGCAGGGAAATGATATCCTAGGAGCGAGCCATGGTTCTCATTCAGCTTTCCCACCTCAATTTCCCATTCAGGATCTCCACCTTAATCCTGCCTTCTGAGCTGGCCTGGGCGGGGGCACTTTTTAAAAAATATGTATTTTTATTGATTTCAGAGAGGGAGAGGGAGAGGGAGAGAAAGATAGAAACATCAATGATGAGAGAGATCAGCTGCCTCCTGCATGCCCCCCTCTGGGGATTGACCTGGCAGCCTGGGCATGTGCCCTGACAGGGAATTGAACAGTGACCTCCTGATTCATAGGCTGATGCTCAACTGCTGAGTCACTCCAGTGGGGGCACTTTAAAGTTGAGGACCAGGCAGGCCACAGACTCCTTTCCATCATTCTGAGGCCCAAGGTTCAGACAGAGCTCTCTAATAAGGGCTTGTTTACAGTATCGGTGCAAAAACCCTGGATAGTCATACAATTAGGCAATCTCATTTAAAGTTTAGCCAGTGTCCTCTTTGTTCTGTGCAGGCAATCATTATGGTGCCTAACCAGGAGTTTGCATCAGCCCATGCTCTGTATCTCAGCACTTGTCTCATTGGGTTGTCATCTTCTGTTTATTTGTTCATTGTCCCCACTTAAATATTTCAATTTTTAAGGCAGAAAATTAAAGTGAAGGCAAAGATGAGTGCTATTACCTGAGAGACCTCCCAGGACATCTAGCCATTGGTGCCCCCAAAGGTGGGGTTCGCCTGGCCACGCCTAGAGGCTGGTTCAGGAGCTGTGGCATCTTCCTGGGTTCAGATCATGACTTGTCCTCCCCAGTTACCCAAGGGTGGGGAGACCACCTTAACACTCATTGTCAGGAACACCCCTTAGCTCCCTATCTAGATGGGGAAGTAGACCAGAGGTTTTTTGAACACAGCGCAAGGAACACCTGCATTGGAATCAACTGGGAGAAGTAGATTCCTTGGCTCCCAGTCCCTGGAGATCCTAATTAGCATATTGCAAGTACCAGCCTGAAGTTAAAAACCTTCATGAGTGTTTTGCTCTGCAGCTGGGTTTGGGAGCCCAGGTATAGATGCCAGAGTTTAAGACTCAGAGAGAGGGATAATTACTTCTTCTACTTCCTGAGTACCTTCCCCCATTCTCAGTCTGGGGAATTGCCTCTCCTCTATGGTTGATGCTGGGAATGAACTTGACTTTTTAGTGAGGATTGCCCAGGCTTATTTTTTTACCCCTACAAATAACTCCTCTCTCAGGATGGCCTAGTAATCTAAATGCACCTTGGAGACACCCAGAAAGGAAAGGATGCATCAGGCAGATGAATCAGACCCAGGCCCTGCTCTCAAGAAGCTTACTGTCTATCGAGGGGAAAATTGACACTAGAGTGTCCCCTGCCCCAGGCCGGGTAGGGTGCCTAACCAGGAGTTTGCATCAGCCCATGCTCTGTATCTCAGCACTTGTCTCATTGGGTTGTCATCTTCTGTTTATTTGTTCATTGTCCCCACTAGATTGTGACCCCTAGAGGATGGAGATCTGGTCTGATTCATCCCTGTACCCTCTGGGTCTAGCACAAAGCGTGGCTCAGAGTAGGCATCACTGAATGAACAGTGAATGTTGGAGAGTAGGGAGGGGTATCTATAGAGGAGAAAGTGATGGAGAAGACAAGTGGAGGAACCAGAAGGGGTTTGGAAGAGGCTTTGCTAAGTACAGAAGGAGGTAATGGAAAGATTGCGGTCTAACCCTAACGGTGGTCTGAGAGGCATTTGGGAGACCTTCAATCCCTTTTCTCTCATATCCCCTCCACTTCCTCTTGCTCTATCAAGCTGGGTTTTCTAGAAGAGGGACCTTGCTCTCCTACCCCCATATCAGACCTGGCTGTCTCTTCTCCCCACATCCCACCATGACCCAACTTGAGAGTGCATAGAAGGCCTGGAACATGGCTTAGGTCTGGCTTCTTGGCCCTAACACAAATATGTGAAAGGTCCTGGCACCAGGAAGGGCAGAGAGGGGTGGTTGTTCTCTAGCACTATTAAGGTTTCCTGGGGAACCATGGCACACCTAACTCCTCTGCATTCTCCTGGGACTTGGCACCTCTGGTCTGGTTGGATCCACACTGGATCTTAAGAAATGGGAGGGGAGGGATAATTTTTCATAATGTAAAAAGTAGAAAATTGAGCTTCATAAAGGGCAAGGAATTTACCTATGTCCATGTAGTAGTTCAGAAATTGAGTCAAGGCTGGACCCTAGATTCCTGCCTTTTCATTCAGCACATAATCAGGCCATAAAAATCAGGTCTAGGTTTGATTCCTAGACCTAGTGATGGTGGGAGTAGGAAGGGAGGAGGAGGACTAGTGATGAAAGGAAGGGCCTGGGGCAGGGAAGAGCTATCTGTTGGAACTAACTTCTACCTTCTGTTCTTCAGTTATAGTCTGGAGGTCTGGAAGCATCTACCTGTCATCCTCCTCAATTCTCAGAATGTGTCCCCTTGAGGTGGGGTTATGTCCTGTTCTTCTAGGATCCTGTTCATTCCACCCTGGGGCTCAGGGGAGGGCTTTGTACATAACAGATGCTCAGCCGTATTATTGGCCTAAACTTAGGGATCTTGGGAGGGACCCACAAATCTGACCTGCATGTTGGGGTTGGGAAAAGGAATTCCAGCTCTCAGCTCAGGAAAGAAACTCTCCTGAGACTGCATGGAGATGTTGGTCCTCTCCTTACCTGGGCCCAGCAGAGAAGGGCATGAAGGCGAAGGGGTGGCATTCAGTCACATTCTCAGAGAAATGTGCAGGGGATCAAAGACCTGAACGGTCAGGCCTTACTTAAAAACTTGCCAGGTCCAGGGGGTGGGTGATTCCCACATCCTTCTACCCCAATTCACCTCTGGGCCCAGGAATAAGGTACCACAGTGTTGGGTCACACTGTGCTGTACCTATGGAGGGCATAGATGTGCAGAGAGACCAGGCTGCCTATGGACAGAACAGAGGTCAGGTGACCAGTTGGGTAACTTAGAGAAGCTGGCTAGGTGTGCCCTGTCTCATCCCACCCTCTGAGAAAGGACACCCTAGCCCTTTTGACGGGGATGCAGCTCCAGTAGTGGGGTCAAAAGCTGTCCTCAGCCCTACCAGATTTCTGAGGCAATCAGGCGTACATAGGAGAAAGCTGGGCATGGGGAGCCAGAGGGCTGGTTCAAGCTGTGGACATGGTCAGCATGAGGTCAGGGTCTCCTGACCCTGGTGGAGATGCTACAGAGGGGCACACTCATGGCTGATGTGAGAAGGAGTGGAGCTGAGATGAACCAGATCAGCCGAGGGCTCCTTCCACCCCTGAGATCCTGTGAGTCTGGCATCTTTGTGACTTAAGCCTCTCCCTGCCCATGTCCACTTGGGTTCTCTGAACCTGGGAGGGATAAAGAGAAGGGGAGCAGTCAGGGTGATCAGAAAGTAAATTGGTAAGGAAAACCCAGGAGGTCAGATGGAAAAATAAGAGAGACACAGGAGGAAGGAGGCAGAAAAGGGGTTGGGAACACCAGAGTTCCCTCTTACTGGTAGATGGAGATGATGTAGTGATAAACTTTTTGACATTGTGTGCACAAGGGCACTGAAACTCTTACACCCCCACCCACCCCGGTTAAACTCATGATGGTAAATTCAGAAGCAATGAGTGAGAAGATCTATGGGGAGATTACATTGGGCTCTGCAGCGGGCTTGAAAGGAGAAGAGCCCCTGAGAAGGCAAAAGATGGGTAGCTGGAGACCAAAGTAGCCAGGCCCAGTCCCCAGAGCCCTTTGGGAAAGTGGCTTGGGTCAGGCAGGATCCCTGGGGGTACATTGTCAGATGCTGAGTCTCTTTCTTCAAGGCTGTTTCCTGGAAGATACATGGGTTAGTTGGGTGGGTGAGGACCATGAAAGGGAACTTTGCAGGAAGGAAAAACAGGGCCAGCACTTGCACATGACTAGCACACCCTAGGACTATGAGGTGCACAGCTTATGCCACTGAACACCGCAGCTCTGACAGACTTCAATGTGCAGAAGAGAATGTAGAGCAAGCATGTCAAACTCAAAGGCTAACACCGTATAAGTAAACAAGGATTAAGTTTATGTGGGCCGCAAAAAAACAAAAGCTTTAATTTTCATAGAAATGTAGGTTTATTTCGATAAAGACATGCTGAATACAAAGGGTTGAAATAAATGAGTAATTGTTAACATAAAATAATAGAACATTTTAATAAAAATTAATATTTTTTCTTGAACATTAACTTACCAGACA